GTTTTGGAAACTTGCCAAGGGAAAGATTTGACCTTTGTCGAGTAGTCAATCTGGCAAGGGTCCTACTGGACTTACTTACTGCAACTTACTTCTTAAAGTCATGGTGACCTCCCTAGCAGCTACACCCAGTGCATTCCCAGCTGAACATTTGTATCGGCCTGCGTCAGTCACTTCAGCGTGGTCAATTCGTAGAACTCGTCCATGATGCATCAGCACTGCTTTTTTGTTCACACGTCGTCCATCCACTCGAGTCCATTTGTAGATTGGAATCGGACTAAATAATTTTTTTCAATCCCAAAACTTTTCTGGTTCTAACATAATACGAATGAGGACATTAGACCAGTACGGCCAGCCAAATGACGCGGATTATCGGTCGTGAAACTGGTTCCAAATTAGTAGGTCATTTTTTTAGAGACTCAAGACCTCCGCAGATAGCACGGTATTTACGAAGGTTCCGAGTTGAATGCCATTAATTAAAGCGACAACCCGTCCACAAATGTTTCCAGGATATAGAGAAAAACAAGCAACTTACTTTCCGTATGCAAAGCACTCTAGATAAACGGTTCCGCCAACCGTCGGCAACTCAGGGAAGACTTGTGGCTGAGCTGAGTCGATCCGAGGCGCAAATGGGATATCTTGAGAGACGGGTACGCTGAGTCGAAAGAACGGCCCATAGTGGCCAGACTGGGTGGATGACAACGACAGCGAGCAGGCATAGCTGAAACGAATGGCTTATGCTGATATGGAACTATTTCTATGAAAATTTCGTAGTAAAACCAGAAGTTTCGAGTTCAGTTAAAATCTTTCTTCGAAGTGGCTCTTTCTGCAACTTTTGCACGAATAGCCCTTCACAGACATTTTCTACACACACTACACATATTACATCTACATTACATGCCCCGCCCCCAGATAACTCCGCCCTTTTTGTCGCGACACAATTTACATGTATGTTAGACACATTTTACACTATACATTTTACACTATATATACATGGTACAGCAGTTCTTTACAGTTTTT